TAAGTCCTAAGGTAGGTGCAGCAGAGACTGAGGTAAGACTTGGAAAAGCAGCTCCATGAGAAAATTATATTGAGCCTGAGTCTTGAAGGTTAAAACCTAAAAGCTTTTTTCCCTATTAAGAGAAATTAAGGGGGAACAGAGAAATGACCCACGTAGCTTGACAGACTGAGCAAAGAGCAAACTGGTGAGGGATGAAGTGAGAAAGGTCAAAAAGAGCCTAATCTCGCCTAAACCCTTCCTGAGGATTTTGAACAATGGGAAACTGGGGAGTTGCATGATCATGTTTGTTCTATAAGATCACTGGACTGTTCCATGGAGTTATTTCTTGAGAAAGCAATAACAAGAGATACTGTCTTGAAGGAAATTTCAGAAAGCCACAGACTTCAAACATCAATCTACATCTCTCAAGGCCAGATATACCCTCGGGGAGGGACACAGACAATAATGCCATCATCTTTGATAGGAAAGTTTAAGGTGAGAAGCATTCAGCGCTGATTTCAGATACAGATTCAAGAAGAGAACTTGGTAACAAATTAAGCATGGACAGTTATGCATGTTAAGGTCAAGTGAAGGCATCAAGGAGAACACTTAGGTTTTGGCTTAACTGGCCAGTTGGAAGGCAGAGAAGCAAGGGGGAGAGTGAAGAGAAAAATACTTGTGATGAATGATCCAAGTAGTAGTATGGGATATCGTACATTTGAAGTACCCATAGCACGTCCAAAGAGTCAAGAATGCATTTAATATCTGGTCTGAAGAACCGAGGACACATCTAGGAAGAGATGCATATCTGGGGATTTTATATAGATATAATTTAAACGATGTGAATGACTGAGCTCACCTAAGGAAAAGGAAAAGTGAGACATAAATAAGGCACAGGACCAATCCTTGAGAAACTACAAATCTTCACTCATTAAGAGGAAGAGGAGTCAATAAAGAGGTTGAAGATGATATGAGGATCAAGAAAGTATGAGAAAATGTAGGGGACTATGCAGTCGTGATACCCAAGAAAAGAAATTATACTGAGTGTGATCAAATGTGAAGAGTTAGAAGCCATGTGCTCTGAAAAAGTGTCCATGGAAGTAACTGACCTGAATTTATGACCTAAACAAGAACAAGTTCAGGAGCAGTAGTGCAGCAGGAGGAAGCTGGGATGGTGAAAGTTGAAACATAGAAGGAATGGGTGAACCAGTCATATACACAGTTTCAACAATGTGTTAGGTGTTGGGTTCAACCAGGTTCAAAATACCACGGTAGCCCAGAATGAGCGCAAGAAGTTTTCCAATTAAGAAACAACACCTGAAGTGAATCTTAAAGACTGAGGAAGGATTCACTGATGCAGAACATTCCTGTCAGATGGAACAGCATTATAAATACTGAAAAAATAACAAAAAATATGGTGATGGGCAATATCTCTAAGTGTTTACCATGTGCCAGAAATTGTTGTAAATGATCTCTATGTATTGAGATCACCTGAACTACAGAGTCAGCTTCTTCCTTCCACTTCTACCACCATCTCTTGGGTGGACTAGTACAGTAGCCAAGAAGTGGAGTTTTCCTGCTGCTCCCCTTGCCTTCAAGTTTATTCTCACAGAGCAGTTAAAATGACCTTTTAGGGAGTGCCTTGATGGCTCAGTTAAGCGCCCGACTTTGGCTCAGGTCATAATCTTGCACGTTGTGGGTTCGAGCCCCGTGTCAGGCTCTGTGCTGACAGCTCAGAGCCTGGACCCTGCTTCAGATCCTGTGTCTCCCTCTCTCTGCCCTTCCCTCGCTTGTGCTCTTTCTCTGTCTCTTAAAAATAAGCATTAAAAAGTGAACTTTTAGGATGAGCGCTATATCATGTAGTTCCTGTGACATAGGTCTCCATCGGCTTTCTCTTTGGTTAAAAAACAAAGTCCTTACTACAGCCTACCCAGCCCTTCACTACCCAGCCCTCACTGCTTCCTTTACCTCTCTATCACTTTGCTCCACCAGACTATCACCCTGGCTGTTTCTCAAAAGTGTCAAGCAAGATTCTGCCTAAGAGCCTTTGCACTCGCTTTACTCTGCCTGGAGTGTGTGCTCTTAGATATGTGCCTGGTTCAATTCCTCACTTCCTTCATGTCTCTGTTCAAATGTCACTTAATCAGCAAGGTCTTCTCTGACCATCTATAACAACTATATCCTGATCTTCCAGCATCTTAACCTTTTTATCCTTTTTCTCCATAGTATTTATCATAATCTGATATACTTTAAAATTATCTGTCTCCTCCAAGTAAAATGCAGTGGAGGCTCCATGAGGGCAAAGACTGTCATTGTTATTCATTGATGTATCCTCAGACATGCGCACAGTCCAAGACCAGGGGGGATCTGAGATTTTGCCCTACTTGGAAGCTAACAAGTTAGCCTGCCACAGTTAAAGGGATTCTGGCAGAAAACAGACTCCTGAGTCAGAGAGAAGGGACTTAATTATTCAGTAGCAATAGCTAGAGTGCCAGTGTCATCTGTTCTGATTTCTCACGCTTCTCCAGGGTGACAGAAAGAGGACCAAGTGGTACCTACAGAGAAAAGTGCATTGTGCTCCAGAGAAGGAGGCCATGTTTTCAAAAATCTCTAATTTTCTTAATGCTCATTTTATTTTTTATTTTTATTTTTTAGTAATCTCTATACCCAATGGGTGGCTCAAACTCATGACCCCAAGGTCAAGAGTTGCATGTTCCACTGACTGAGCCAGTCAGGTACCCCCAAAATCCCTAATCTTTTTCACTTTTGAATTTTTTAAAATCGTTTTGAAGTTTATTTATTTACTTATTTTGAGAGAGACAGAGAGAGAGACAGAGAGAGCACAGTGGGGTAGGGACAGACAGAGAGGGAGAGAAAATTCCAAGCAGGCTTCATGCTGTCAACACAGAGCCCCACGCGGGGCTTGAACTCACGAACTGTAAGATCATGACCTGAGTAAGCCAAGATCAAGTCAGACGCTTAACCAACTGAGCCACCCAGGCGCCTCTCCCTAATCTTTTTTATTTTTTAAATTTTTTT